GCATTCTCAATAACACCAGCTAGACTTAAGAAAAACATGTTCCAATTCAACTACAGCTTTCAGAACAAGCATGTTCCGAATAATGACCGGATTGCTCTGGAACAAGCATGTTCCCAACAATACAGCTATAACTTAAGAACAAGCATGTTCCCATTACGACCAGGTAGCTTAAGAACAAGCATGTTACCAATACAACTACAGCTTTTAGAACAACAACCACCAGGTAGCTCTGGGACAAGCATGATTACCATAAGGGAACACGATTCAATATGTTTATATTTCATTGTTTTGATAAATGATGAATTAAGTATTTTCTTGAACTTTTTTTATGTTAAGTTTATAAACATTTACAAATGATGTCTCAACTTTAGATTGGGTACTGCAAAAACATGAACAAATGATTAATAAATGATTTGTAAAGATGAAAATAGGGTAAATTCCGGTCATTTTGTACACTTTTTGCCATCAAAATGACTGCTCATGAAGGTACAAATGATTAGTATATGTTTATAAACATTTACAATTGATGAATAGTTTCCACTTTAGATTGGGTACTGCAAAAACAAATAATTAATAAATGTTTTAAGATGTGCAAATAATAGAAGTCTACACAACAGACAAAGACCAAATATATGACCTTTACAGACTGTGATTATGAGTTGATGAATATATTAACAGGAATAGTTTGTGAAGGGCTTAAAATTAATAACTAAGCTATATTTTCACAACATTTGTAAATGTAAAAAATAGCATTAGCTAATATGTTAACTGAAGTGTAATGACACTTGTAAGCATTCAACAGTACATTAACAAATACACTTGTAATCATTGTGTAATTTCATTTGTAGATTTTTTTAAATGCATTGAATGTTTAACGACATTTGTAAACATTAGCTAATGATCAGTTAAGCATTATATATTTGTTAATGATTTATTTAATGAAGCTTTTAATCATTGTAACCCATCTGTCAAAATAATTTGAAGATTTAAAAAAAAAATCATGTTCATATAAATTGAAAGTTTAATGACATTTGTAAGCATTAAGATTTACATTAATAATAATTTGGTAATGTTTATTAGTTAACAAGCACATTATCTCATATTTCTAGATATGTGAATATATATTAAGTAATGATTAGTTAAACATTTAATAATATGTTTTAATGATTTATAAATGAAAGTTATTATAAAGTGTTACCAATGTTTGTATGTATGTATTTTTTTTTTTAAATCATACCAACATTTCATCCCCACAAAGTTCAAACTTACGCCCTTACAATTCCCTGAATAAGTGTAAATTATAGATCATACGTACCATCAGCGATCATCAGTAATACTGAAATCAACGCAGATTTACAGAAATAATGCTGCATCTTCCAATAGCCTATGCGAAATTAAACAAAACGATCATGTCTACTAGCTGCAAATGATCGCAGCTATTACTGCTGAGGGACGCTTCTGTTAGCGCAATGCGACAGACTAAACGCTTCATTTCACTTTCATGTTTACTTTCACTTCTAAATTCGGGTCGAGTCAGATGATTAACGGAACGCAGGCGCATAAGCAGTACAAACACTTCAGCACGATAACTTAACTGTTTAATCACTCTGAAGTTGATCATCCGAGAGAAAATAACCAACTCATTGCAGGAATGTCGCAATAAACCGTAATCAACAAACTACTATTCCCATAATGCTTTACTGGGATAGTAAGTAACGTTCAGAGTTATGAGAGAACTAGTTCGGTATTAATAGAGAATAGCAGGGCCGGCCCTGACCAATTTGGTGCCCTATAAGGCTAGATTTTAGCTGGAGCCCCTTGTATCGCAGCCAATTGTGGAATTTTTAGGGATGCACTGAAATTTAGGGATGCACTGATCTTAACTTTTCATGGCAATACTGATTATTAATGTATTTTATTTAAGCAAAAGACAAGAAAGAATGAAAATAGGAGTATAGGAAAAATATGGTTAGTTGCTTTATTGGCCTATATTTTTTTTATCTAAATTAGCCCTCTGATGCATGAATTATGAAAGCCTGAGTCAAGATTTTTTGTGTGTTTGTATTCTTCTTAGGGCATGAAAAAAACAATACATTTCTTTTTTTAAATATGATTTTTTCAGAAAGTTACAGAAATGTCCAATCCAGTGGACTACATGAGCCTGAGCACTCAACATAAAACAGTATGAACTTAATGTAAAAATGAATTAAATTGTGTTTTATGGTAAATACATGAACAATTATTTCATTTTATGCTTTGAAAAACATTTTAACATATTTTCACACATTTTATAGTTGTATAGGCCTATTGTTTAGGCCTGAATGAGAAAATAAATGACATCCACAACTGTGAATCTTACACCTAAGCCTAGTCTGTATAACTCACATATCACAAATTCCTGAGATAAGAAAAGTGAACTCCATTAAAGCACAGATATGCTAAAATGTCAGCTTTCTGGATTTCTAGAAGCTTATTTCTGACAGAATAAAAATATAAATACTGTAAGTGCGACTTTTTATCTCACAATTTTGACTTTAACTACTACGACGGCATTTTAGTGCCACGCTAAAAATTAAAAAAATTTAATGAATTCATTTATATTAATTAATATTTCGTCGTAATATTTTGAGAAAAAAGTCAAAATTTCGAGAACAAAGTCGAAATTACAAGAATAAAGTCCAAATATTTTGAGAATAAAGTCAAAATTACGATAATAAAGTCAAAATTAAAAGAATTAAATCGTAGCAATTACGAGATTAAAGTTAGCCTAGAATATTTTGATAGTAGCCTATTGCACATGCAAATGGACTGGGAGAACTGTTAATTACAGATAAAACAGGAAACTTTGCCTGGGGAGAGGAAGGATCTTCTTCACAAAGACATATGAGGCTGTGTGGTGGAAGCCGAAAGGAAGCCACAAAGCCGCCTACCCTTCTCTCTTTCAGGAGAACAAACATTGGCACATGGAATGTCAGGACCATGTACGAGCCAAGAAAGACAGCGCAGGGAGCAGCCAGGTTGAGGAACAATAACCTGACCGTGTTAGGCATCAGCGAAGCACGGTGGTCCCAAGCTGGACAGAGACGACTGATGACAGGAGAGCTGTTGCTGTATTCAGGGCATGAAGAGAGCAACGCACCCCACACACAAGAAGTAGGCTTCACGTTGTCCAACCAGGCACAGAGGGCTCTGATTGGATGGGATCATCACAGCATCTTTCCGTACCAAAAGGAGGAGTATCAAGATGAACATCGTTCAGTGCTACGCTCCAACAAATGACAGTGAAGAGGAGGATAAAGATCAGTTCTACAGCAGACTGCAGAAGATCCTCAAGACCTATACAGACAAGGATGTCACCATCCTCATGGGAGATGTAAATGCCAAAATGGGGTCAGACAACACTGGATACGAACAAGTCATGGGCACCCACGCCCTGGGAGTGATGAACGAGAATGGAGAGAGATTTGTGGACCTGTGTGCACTCAACAGCTTGGTCATTGGAGGCAGCATCTTCCCTCACAAGCGGATCCTCAAAAGTACATGGATATCGCCAGACAGTGCAACAGAGCACCAGATCGACCATGTCTGCATTAACAAGAAATTCAGAAGATCCCTGCAGGATGTTAGAGTGAGAAGAGGAGCAGATGTGGCATCCGACCATCACCTGGTGGTGGCAAGACTGAAACTGAAGCTGAAGAGAAACCAGACTGACGCATTAGACAGAAGAGTGAAGTACAACATCAGCCTTCTGAAAGACCCCAAAAGGAGAGAACAGTTTGGTCTGGCGCTGAAAAACCAGTTCAAAGTGCTTCAGGACCTTTTTGAAGAGGAAGATAGTGTGCTCAACAGGTGTCAGAGTCCTTGACCAAGATAAAAGATAGGAAGAGGAAGAAGGAAACAGTCAACAACAGCAGGACTAGAGTAGCAAAGGCCAAGGCTCAAGAATAATATGCAGAAGCTCACAGAGTAGTGAAGAGGAGTATTAGGAATGAAAGAGTACGTGGACAGACTAGCGGCTGAAGCGGAGCAGGCAGCATACAGTGGCAACATGAAACAGCTGTGTGATACCACCAAGCAACTCTCCGGGAAGTTCAGCAAGCCAGAAAGACCCGTCAGAGACAAGCAGGGCAACACCATCAACAGCTTAGACCAGATCCAAAGATGGGCTGAACATTTTGAGGAACTCCTGAACAGGCCAGCACCTCCGAATCCCCCAGACATCGAACTAGCAAACGTGGATCTCCCGATCAACTGTGAGAAGCTGACTAGGGACAAGATCAGGAAGGCCATCACCCTGATGAAGAACGGGAAGGCAGCTGGACCAGACGATCTGGATGCATCAGTGGAGATGCTATACCCAGTCTTTGAGAGGATCTGGGAGGAGCAAGATATACCAGCAGACTGGAAGGAAGGTTACCTAATTAAGCTTCCCAAGAAAGGTGACCTCAGCAACTGTGACAACTACAGGGGCATCACACTACTATCTGTGCCAGGGAAGGTCTTCAACCGGGTCCTTCTAGAGAGGATGAAGAACATCGTCGACCCACAGCTGCGAGATGAACAGGCAGGCTTTCGGCAGAACAGATCCTGCATGGACTAGATTGCAATGCTCCGCATCATAGTTGAGCTGGAATGAAACTCGTCATTGTACATCGACTTCGTCGACTATGAGAAAGCATTAGACAGCATGGATCGAGAGACCCTCTGGAAGCTCCTTAGGTTCTACGGCATCCCAGAAAAAAATGGTCAACCTAATCAGGAACTCCTACGATGGTATGTCCTGACGGGTTATCATGACAGCTGGATAAAAAAAAACATCTGTCAAAATACAAATATAAATAATGTAAATATAAAAGCAAATTTCCATTACATGAATACAAAGAAAAGTGCAAGTTCATGTAATGAACAGTTAAACACACATTTTGAAAACCAAGAAACAAATCCATTTAAAAAAAACAGCAGAATTTAAAATACAACTGAACTTAAATCTTAAATCACTGTCAGTGTGATAAAGAGTCTTTTTCTCTGCTTGTTGGTGATATTTGTGTTTCCACTGAATCAGGCTGGGTTTCCTCTGTCCTACCAGCATCCTGATCTTGATTCAGTAAAGAATTCATTTCATGTGATTCTGCTGTGTTCTGTTTCTGGTTTGATTCATTGGCTGGAGCGTCATCAGATCCTGCTGCTTTCTGGGTTTGAGACAACATTTTAAATGTTGCATTAAAATGCATACATTAAAATGTATTTTCAACAATTTCTACAGCAGTGTTTCTCAGTCCTGGAGTGTTCAGCACTGCACATTCTGGATGTCTCCTTATCTAAAACACCTGATTTATAACTCATGAGTACTACATGACATGACTACATGACGTGGCCTAATGGTTAGAGAGTCGGACTCATAACCCAAAGGTTGTGGGTTCGAATCTCGTACCGGCAGGGATTGTAGGTGGGGGGAGTGAATGTACAGCACTCTCTCCCACCTGCAATACCACGACTGAGGTGCCCTTGAGCAAGGCACCGAACCCCAACTGCTCCCCGGGCGCCGCAGCATAAATGGCTGCCCACTGCTCCGGGTGTGTGTTCACTGCTGTGTGTGTGCACTTTGGATGGGTAAATGCAGAGCACTAATTCCGAGTATGGGTCACCATACTTGGCCACACGTCACTTCACATCACAAGAGGTCAAGAATTGAATCCCAAATGATGTGCTATACACAATGTACTCTATCTATCTAGCGTATGATATTTAGAAGGGTAGTGTCATCTCATCTCAAATAAAACACTGAAGAAATGTTTCTACACAGAAGCATTTGCTATCTTTCAAGTTGAGGAAAATAACATTTCAAATTCTATTGACATGTTGCAGCTGTTTTAGCACATTTAGCCCCTGCTGTTAGATGATCTGATACACAATTCCTGAGGTCTGACAGATTTGATATTCACTAACTTCACACTTGTGAAGTTTTGAGACTGTGTGTTCTTGTGGTGTCATCGGCCAGTCATTGTTATCATGTTGTCACTTCACTTTGGATTCAGAGTAACTAGTCACATGATATTTACACTTCAGGTGATTGGCTCAAAAATGATTCCAGAACTGATTGTCCATAAGTAAAAATGGCAGTGTACCAGTCATATACATCTGGGACTGTACGTGCCATGTGAAAAATTAACAGGATCATTCTCTCCTGGAATACAGACTTCACTGATCAATTACCTTAACTCTTTTGTGTCAAATAAAGGAGACAAACACAATCTGCAGTGCCGAGCTTCTCCAGGAGCAGGACTGAGAAACACTGATCACATCATCTCGACTTGTTCGACTTATATTTCAAATTAAATCAAGAATAATTTTGACACTATCATAAGTTTCTTCATTCTGTTATCCAGCGGCTGGAGTTTGATAAGAACGTATTGCCCTGTGTATTCAAAATGAAACTGTTATTTACATAATGGAATATGTTGTTAGGCAGCTATTGAAAGAAGCATTTACATTTAAATTAAAGAATAACACATTCGATTAATCCATTTTTAATGGACCGGATGGTCAGGAAGAAACTGAGCAGCTGAATGACACTCACTTTACCTCAGAAAGCCCTCATCAGAGCTGTAAAAGTATAACCTCTTCTTATATCTACTCAACAAGAAGTCCAAGCACATAGTTATTTCAAATTTAAAATGTAATCGAGTTAAAGTACAAGTACATAGTTTGAATAAAACCTGGGTAAAGTCCCTATTCTTCAGAACAATACTTTAATAACCAAGTATAATTCATTTGCATCTCTGCCACTCTATTAATTAGAGACTCAAATGTAATTAATGACTGGAATCAGTTCATAACAGTGAAAAATACTGATGCTGTGTTCTCAATAACATGTGTCAGTATAAAGACGTCTGTCATATGGGCCAGAAAAACATGACGATAGAATTACTGAGTGCATCTTTAATATGAAGTGAAACTTCTCCTGATATTTCAGGCCAGTTTATTAAATATGATACTAACCTGACGTGACTGCAGACATGTTCTCATCCCTGTGAGTTCAGAGACAGTGAAGGAAAAAACGTGCAGTATTCACAAGCTGCTCATATTAAACAAAACATAGGTATAATAGATTATTCTTGGGGGGGAAAAATAAATAAACAAACAAACATCTTAAAATATCAAAATTAATTTAATGGAGTGTTCTGTTTGTGTTTACAGAAGATTGAGGGCTTCAGTTTAGAATCAATGATCATGGGTAATGAGTGACTAATAACTATTATAAAAACAATAGAAACATCTCTAGGAAGTATGTTCTCAAAGACCACAATAAATAGTAGTACATGATTGTGAGTGAGGAACATAATGAGTGCTGTTCTCTCTGATATGCTGAATCTTCATTCATGTACATTGAGAGGAGCTCTCAGTCAAACATTACATAAAATGCATCACAGTCCATTAATAATTAGAAAACAAAACTGATAATTTATTTCTTAAATACAGACTGTATGTGCCATATTTGCAAATGAAGATCCTTTGAAAAAGAGAGATGCCAGAACACATCATGATCAGAAGTGGATGTAATTAATTAATCAGATTTTTTTTAGTCTAAAGTTCAGTTTGTACTCACATGGTTCAAATACTTGTAAACTCAGCAGAGATAAAGCAAAGAGGCCTTCAGAGGAAAAGACGACGATTCTCAGATCTCCAACTGAACGATCACCATTAACTGATGAAGTAAATACAATATTAGACAGTACTTAAATATTATCAAGACTGTACATAATTCATTGTAATATTCATGTTTTTGTGAAATGCAACTATCTGAAAATAGGTATGTGTGTGTAGTATGTATTTATGATGTAAATTCAGATATAAGTTGATCAGAGTAACTTTGAAATGAAAGTTAAGAATACAATTATTGTTAGCATATTATATGCATATACATAGACAACGTGAGATATGTGGAAAATATATTGATTATACACTGATGTTAAAATGTTTTTTCACTCACCTGTATTCAGTATCAGTTCAATCATCAGTGTAACAGAGTTCAGTACAACAACAACCACTGATCCAAACACATAGACAGGAACAACACGGTGAAGAGCTGGAAGATCAAATAATACTGTTTAATATCATCATTTAGACAAAATGAGACCACCTTAACAACCGCAAATGATATACGGAGAGGAAGTAAATCTAAATTATTTCAGGCTCTTTATTTTAAGTCAACGTCTCTCTAAATTTGCATGGAGTTTGATTTCAGTCATTCCTTCTAGTAAATAGCTTCACAGTAGAGATGGTATGAAACTAATACAAATGAAAAAGTAGTTTAAATAAAAATGACTATTTTGAAGAATGTTTTTTTTTTCATAATGACAATAAGTTGGTTAATTAAAACATGATAGCAACGTAACATTCATACACAAATATTCTGTATTAGTACACACTCGGTATGCTCTGTTATTACACAGTAAAACAAGAAATATATAATAATATACCTGTCAGTTTCAACTGGATGATAATCATCAACATATATTATCATATCACCCAGCCATAAAGCTGCTCAGTGTAAATATAAGAAATTTACAACATGACCTTTTGCAAAGCTGCATATTGTGAAAAGCGCTATACAAATAAATCTTACGTGATTGATTTTGCAATCGAATGAGACAAACTCAAATTAGAGCTTTTTTGTGTAGTAAACGCCAGAGGGAAAAAAATGACCCAGAAGATTTATTTCTTTAAAGCAACTTATGTAGGCCGAGTTTTGTGTATTTATGCAGCTTTAGAGCCCACTACAGTTAAATGAGTGGAATTCACTGTAGTAAATATATCACTGTCGTAATTACAGTGTCTTGTCCTACACGTGTACTTGTTGCTGTCGTAAAGCGATCTGTCCTTTACGCGGAATTTAATACATGCTCACCAAACGTACTTATTCTCAGAACAAACTAATAGGGGGAAGTTTGGCAAAGAAACAGAAGCCATTCGCCTTATAAGAAGTCACCTCCAGAATGACTTTGCAACTAATATTTCAAGAATAACTTGCATGCAGTTGCTTTAAAAGAGAAAAAAAAGTGACAAAAGTGACCAAAAACAAACTATAGCTGATAGTAGAATCATCGCAATGAAAGAGTTGATTAAATCTGTACAGTACCAAAATCAAATGAGCGTGTGAAGTTGATCACTGCCCAGAGTACTTGCAGAAATGCAATCATACAGACCCATGCAATACGATCTAAACATGAACAAAATATCAGCTTTTATCACAGGAAATTGACAAACAAAATTTTTTTTAAAAAATACATTTTAGAATAAATGTAAGATAGGAAGTTAGGAACATTAATTTCTTTATTAAATGCAAAAACATAGTCATACCTTTTTCATTTTCCAGAGCTATAATGTAAAAAAAGACCATTCCAGCATTGACCACTAACATGAGAATTAACCATGCTGTTCTCATGAACAAAGGTGAACCTGAAAAATGTATTTCTATTGTCAACTATTAATTGTATATATATTTTAATTTTATTTTTTTTGTCTCTTATGCTCATCAAGGCTGCATTTATTTGATCAAAAATACAGAAAAAAACTGTAATCTTGCAAAATGTTATTACAATATAAAATAAAAGATGTTTCTATTTTAACATCCTTTAAAGTATAATTTATTTCCATCAGCCATTACTCCAGTCTTCAGTGTCACATGATCCTTCAAAAATCATTCTAATATGCTGATTTATTATTAGAATTATCAATGTTGGCAACAGTTGTGCTGCCAAATTCTTTTGGAAACTGCGATACTTTTTTCAGGATTCTTTGATGAATTAAAAAGTTAAAAATAACAGAATTTATTCAAAATATAAATCTTTGCTAACCATATAAATCTTTGCTATCACTTCTTAACAATTTAACACATCCTTGCGGAATAAATGTTTTAATTTCTTTCAAAAAAAGAAAGAATAAAAATGTACTGACCCCAAACTTTTGGACTGTAGTTGTTAGAAAAGATTGCTATTTTAAATAAATGCTCTTCTTTTTAACTTTTTTATTTATTAAAGAATCCTGAAAAAGAGTATCACAGGTTCCAAAAAAATATTAAGCAGCATAACAGTTTCCAGCACTGATAATAAATCAGCATATTATACTGATTTCTGAAGGATCATGTGACACTGAAGACTGGAGTAATGATGCTGAAAATTCAGCTTTACATCACCAGAATAAATGACATTTTAATATATATTAAAATAGAAAAACATTATTTTACATCATAATAATATTTCACAATATTGATTTTTTTCCCCTGTATTTTTAAATGCAGCCTTGATGAGCATAAGAAACTCCTGTAAAAAAACATTAAAAATCATTCTGATCCCAAACTTTTGACCGGTAGTGTATTTAAATATATATATATATATCACATTATGATTTAATTATTTATATACTCTATAAAAAACTTACAGTTCATCTTTTCCCCACATGTACGACCCCAGTCATATCTTGTCGCTGTTAGTAAAACTGGTAAAATTGTAACAATAAGGATTCCTAAAAAAGGAGAGATTTAATTCTAGATACTGGGTTTAACTGACAGACACATCAACAGATGTATAAATGTGACACTGAAGACTGGAGTAATGATGCTGAAAATTCAGCTTTACATCACCAGAATAAATGACATTTTAATATATATTAAAATAGAAAAACATTATTTTACATCATAATAATATTTCACAATATTGATTTTTTTCCCCTGTATTTTTAAATGCAGCCTTGATGAGCATAAGAAACTCCTGTAAAAAAACATTAAAAATCATTCTGATCCCAAACTTTTGACCGGTAGTGTATTTAAATATATATATATATATCACATTATGATTTAATTATTTATATACTCTATAAAAAACTTACAGTTCATCTTTTCCCCACATGTACGACCCCAGTCATATCTTGTCGCTGTTAGTAAAACTGGTAAAATTGTAACAATAAGGATTCCTAAAAAAGGAGAGATTTAATTCTAGATACTGGGTTTAACTGACAGACACATCAACAGATGTATAAAAACAACAGCAACAACAAATGACAATTGTTCTCACTTTATAATGACTTTAAGTGATTAACAATTTCACCACTCATATTTACAGATCCACTGCAACACGAACCTAGTTTTATTTTCAGCATTTTAACACATTGTTTCTTCTTCTGACCTCTCTACTCCCTACAAACTATAATTAATTCATTTGTTTGATATATTTTATTTAATATGTATGAAGCTGAAACATCTGTAAAATATCAACTCAATTTCTACAATTTTATTTGATTTTATGATGAATATACAGTATATGAATACAGTTTTCTTGCACTCATTGTTACTCATAAATGAATCTGAATAGTTCATAAAGGTGAGTTTACCTCCTCTGCCAGATCCAAAGGTGAAGAACAGGAGGATGAATTGAAATGCAGGTAGAATATTAAAGCTTATACCAACCAGAACACCGAATATAGTAATTATCCATTCACTTAATTTGTTAATGAATCTAGCCAACACTGTATCAGAAAAAAAAAGGATACAATGTTTGACTTGGTTTTAAATTAACGTCATGAAATGTTATCGTGACAGACAAAGAATCAGTGCAGGGCTAAACTAATTTCACAAATAGGTTCAGTTCTCTCTCCATATCTATCTATCTATCTATCTATATATACAATTGCTGTCACCTTGTAGAATCTGCCAAATCTTAAGTGATATTATAGTTTTTATATTTGCACTTTTAAGAAACATTATTAATCTGATAAAGCATGATTTCACAGCACACACTCATCAGTGGTAATTGACAAAAATATTTATAAAGAAATACTTACAGTATATGATATAGAGGAGGTTTAGCAGAAGCACTATAACAAAGAGGACTGGTATCACGATACTCTCAAATCCAGTATAACTTATACTTTTGTCCCAGGTATATTTAAACAGAACTTGAAGAAAGCAAAAGATTATAGTGTGATATGTTTTGTGTAACATTTAATGTAGGTTGTTTATTAATTGGCTTGTGTAGTTTATGAAAAAGATGATAAAATCACAGAGATTCAGCAATGAACACATGCAGAATCAATTAAACATGTGAAATGTTACATTTTAGATTTGCTGTAAATTGTTCACCATATTACATAATTTAAAACTGTTAATATGCATGACAAATTACCTGAATAAAAGACAGCTGAGAAAACTATGTATTCTGCTCTAAAACTATATTTCAAAATCCACGTTTTATTGTTGCCTGTAAAACATTCAAGATGAAGTAATTACACAAATGCCAATAAAACATTAAGTATTTTTAAATGGAACATTCATTCAACTATTTTGGATGAATCAAATGAATCATACCTGTGAACTTGTGTACATATGGAGCCGCCCAGAGCACCATGAGAGGCCTCAGAAAATAAAGAGCACAACAAGACACTGACTCAAACAAAGATCCTGAAACAAAACCAGATATTAGTAATTTCTGTGATAAGTATTTGAGTGATAAGATGTATTGATAAACAATCAGTAGTGAAACACTCACCTTCAGAAACGCCCCAGAGGACAAAAGCAAGAAACATCAGAATATTTGGACAGAAAACTAGAAACAGATGAAGTCCTACCTTTACATCTAGAGAGAAATTTCAAAATAACTCAAATTCAGTCACATGGTAAACGTAGTAAAATTAAACAAAATTGCAGCACTTCTTTAAACTTGCAATTAGCATAATATGTCACTAGAGGGCGATATGTATGCAGCAGCGTGAGAATACCATCATGGAGAGATGCAAAGCAGGTAGTAAAAGCCCTCAATTCACAAATGGGGACATTCCATAGACTTCTATAGTTTTTATAATAAACTAATTATAAGTGCTATGCTCACCCTAACCTCCTCAGAAAATATTCTGCATTTTTTAAATAATTTTAAAAAAATACACAAAACAAAACACAAAATATGATTGAGGTATACACACAAACACAGGCTTTTCACTCTGTTTCACCATGTCAGTCTGCGATTTGTTTCTAATTTGAAACTGGCCAAGTGTTTTGTTTCTTCAGCTGCAGCAAGAGTTTCTTTCTCATGTCCTGCATCAAAGATGCATTTGTGGTTAAAATTCACACCCAAAAAAAAAAGGTATTCTTACATTCCAAATATGTGTTTTTTTGTAATCTTGTAACAGTGATAAATTAATTATCATATTATAATAGAATTTGGTTTCTGAAGCAAAAACCAATAATAAAGAGACATTTATTTTCAGTGTGGTGTTAAAAAAAAAACTAAAAAAAAAAAACTAAAAGCAGATAAAAGATTAATTAAGCCAGTTTAAACATCATCACCATTATTATTATTATACACACTCCTTTATCATACTTGTATATACACGTACCATTATTATGTGATGTGCAGTAGATCAAACAGAAGAGTAGAAGTGCAGATCCAGACGCAGTAATACAGAAAATTAACATTATTATTTGTAAAGTAGAGAAACCTGTAAACACAGACACCAGTTACTGAACGGCAGAGCCGCAACCACCATAGGGGAACATCATATAACCTACCTATTTCGCTATTTATAGGGTGACAAAAACGGTGCTCGTCAAAATGATTAAGATGTCAGTGTCAAAATAATTGAAATGGATAATTTCAAAGGTGACTAATTTTACTGTTTACGAACTAAACAGTTAACTTGTTAACAATAGAAATGTTAAACGAACAACAATATCCAGGGAAGCAAAATACTCAACATTTCTCAAATTCCACCATTTTTAAAGGAAAATAGTGATTCTGAACCATTTACATGATTCATTTTATGTAGGCTTTAACATATCACTGTTTTACAGTTTTTCTCAGTGGCTTTGGTGCATTTCTCAGATCAGAAATGAAATTCTCAAAACTATACTTGTTCAACCTCCACATCATCAAAGCAGTTTTTCATTCATTTGAACAAGTTGTGATTGCTTTGGTACATCCATACAACTGATTATGTACATTTGTTTGCGGTTTCCTACATTATCACTGGCTATTGTCATGTTGCTCAAAATGTATGATATAGTTCTCAGTGCAATTTCTCTGAAATTGCTCAAAGGTGCATCTCATGAACCTTCAATTGGAAAGCATATATAGACAGAGAACAACACAAGAGTTACAGATTCTGACAATGGATGAACATCCAGAAAATGATCAGGGTCAACAGTCGAGAGGAAGAAGAGGAGTAAGGATGCATGGTGGAAGGGTACAGAGGCAAAACAGAGGAAGAGGCCAAGGACAGAGGCGCATATCAGGGAAGTCGTGGCCTAATGGTTAGAGAGTCGGACTCATAACCCAAAGGCTGTGGGTTCGAGTCTCGTACCGGCAGGGATTGTAGGTGGGGGGAGTGAATGTACAGCGCTCTCTCCCACCTTCAATACCACGACTGAGGTGGTATTGAACCCCCAACTGCTCCCCGGGCGCCGCAGCATAAATGGCTGCCCACTGCTCCGGGTGTGTGTTCACAGTGTGTGTGTTCACTGCTGTGTGTGTGCACTTTGGATGGGTAAATGCAGAGCACTAAGTCCAAGTATGGGTCACCATACTTGGCCACATGTCACTTCACTTTTTATTTATTTTTTCCTTAAATAAGGGCCACCATTGTGGACCATGTTGTCAATCAATGGCTGAGGTGGGTTTTCTGTGTTTGCCTTTCTAATTTTGTATTTTTGCCTTTGTGCCCATATTTATTTTCTTTTCTATATCACAATGATGTTGAATCTCTTTCAATCAATATCCCGCATACAGTAATGTGTACATTTGTACTTTTGAAATGGATATAGGCATATATAAGAAGTGCAGCCTTCTGCATATCAATACAGTAACTGTCATCCAAACTGTTGCCATAGTTTACATCAGGTAATACTAACAGAGAGTAGAGTTATATTGACAACATGACTAAGCATTTTGACATCTTGTTTGTGAACACAAGGACTTTTCATTCTGATGGCTCTGATATGTTCACTGACCTAAATACTTATTTTTGAGAGATGAGCTAAAGATTTTGAGTAAGTTACAGGCTTTTGCAGGTAATCCATAGTGTGGTGCTGTTTGTACACATTGTTTTGAGAAATGCACATACTTCTTTGCCAATATTGAGGATGATTCGAGAAATGCACCAAAGCTACTGAGAAAAACTGTAATTACTGCCGCACTAATATTTTTATATATATATATATATATATATATATATATATATATATATATATAAGTTCACATGACTTTTCAAGTAGACTTTGGTATGGTTTGCTGGTATGTGTTATTTTAGTGTTACTGAGATACTATTATAGATTGTTATTTTTTATGTAGATTTTATAGTTTTAATAAATTTGTGTTGTTTATTTGTTTTTAATGTCCATGTAATTTTTATTACAATTGAACTTTATTATTTTAGTATATCAAGTTGAAAATGAGAAATGTGGTCTTGGCAAATAGCTTAAATAAAATGTTTTATTTTATTTTATTTCAGTTCATGTTTATTTTATTTAAGTAATGAAATGGTTTTAGTTTTACTCTTATTTTACTATAATAACCCTATTGGGAGAGTTTGTAAAACCATGTTCATATCATCCAACCAAACTTCCACATCAAAGAAACCTGGATGCGCTCCAGAAGTGGTAGTGTGAAAGCACCCTTCTTCAGGCCTAGAAGCACACACTTAGACAGGAAGAGATGTAATCCATTTTGTCAAATCCATAATGCTACTGAAAATGTGATTATATCATCATCTCCAAATTGTTTAAAAATAAATCTTTGTGTCTTCCCACAGTCATCAACGCTGGAATGAGGAAGTTTTACTTGCAGGCGAATGATAAGCAGGATTTAGTGGAGTGGGTCAGTGCGCTCAACAACGCCACCAAAATCACAGTAAGTCCCTGACCCTGGATTAGATTCCTCTTACTAACCGGAGAACAGTTCAGATGGTTCTCCAAATTGCAGATTTGGAGACCTGGATCCTGTAGGTGTACAGACATAATTAGCCTACATTAAACACAATTTTCTCTACTAAAATTGAATAAGAAAATAATCCATCTATTCTTCAAAACACTTGTCCTATTTAGGACCCTGGGTATGCTGAAGTCTATCTAAGCATCTCGGACCATAGACTAAGATAATTAGCTGAGATGAGTCAACAGTAAAAATGTATATACATACAGTGCCCTCCTTAAGTATTAGGACAGTAAAGACAAAATTGCTCTGTTTGCTTTGGAGTCAAGAAATCTGTAAATATGATTAAAAGATGAATATGAGACAAAACTACAGAATGTCACGTTTTATTATTGGGTGATTCAACATATAGATATTTTACCAGCTAAGAAGATCAGCACTTTTAGAGTTTCATCCCTCCTATCTGATGTGAGCATAAATAATGGGACAGTTGCCTCACAGGTCTTTCTAAGTGATCAGCTGTGTCCTGTTGCATTAATTGTTCAGATTTTAAAAGCAGAAAATGTGTCGTATCTGTTATACCCATTGCTTCTTGCATTTGATGACGACACACACAAATCAGGATGAAGACGAGGGGGCTGACTTTGAGAGAAAAGCAAGCAATTTGGATGCTAAAAGAAAAGAGGAAGTCAGTTAGAGCTATAGCAAAAACAAGGGGCATGAAGAAATCAAGAGTTTGGAAACCACCGACAACAACCAACAACAACCTGATCAGCTGAGAAAAACACCAGTAGTTGATGACAGACAAATAATAAAAGCTGTGAAAATGAACCCAAAAATACATGTCTGTAAAATAACCAACAACCTCCAGAAAGCTGGGGTGATGCTCTTACAATCTACTGTCCACAGGAGACTTTGACACAGAATGACAGAGGTGACACAGCAAGATGCAAACCTCTGACCAGCACCAAAAATAGAAAGGCAAGATTAGTTTGCAAAAAAGTAGAGTTTTGGAACTGAGATTTATGGACAGATGAGACAAAGATGAACCTTTATCTAAGTGATGGGATAGCAAAAGTGTGGAGAAAAAAGGGAACTGCAAATGATCCTAAGCATACAGCCTCTTCTGTAAAGCATGGTGGAGGTTGTGTCATGGCATGGGCATGCATGGAAGAGGCCCTCTCAATTTTAATGATGACTTAATGTATGTGACAGTAGCAGAATGAATTTGGAAGGGTACAAAACCATCTTGGCTACCAATATTCAAGAAAATGACACCAGACTCACCAGAAAGCACTTCATATTGCTTCAGGACAATGACCCAAAACACCCTTCCAGTTCAGTCAAGAAGTTTACCAGGGCAAAGAAATAGAAGGCCTTAGATTGCCCAATTCCATCTCCAGATTTAAACCTGGTTGAACATGAATTTCATCAGCCAAAGAGGAGAAACTCCCCAAAACAAGCAACAGTTGTAATTGGCTGCATTAAAGGCTGGGCAACGCATTTCAAAGGATAAGACCAAGAGTCTGGTGATATCTACGGGTCACAGACTCACTGCTCTGATTGCACGCAAGGGATCCGCAACTAAATAATAGCTTTTAACCTTTTACATCTGCCTTAAAGGGGTCATATGATGTTGCTAAAAAGAACATTATTTTGTGTATTTGGTGTAATGAAATGTGTTTATGCGGTTTAAGGTTAAAAAAACATTATTTTCCACATACTGTACATTATTGTTTCTCCTCTATTCTTTATATTTTATAAAGAATATCTCTTTGGATTTGAGACTTTAGTCTTTGCAACTTTACAGATCTTCTTTATGCACCTAGAGCTTGTAACACTCCAAAGAGAAAGGAAAAATTGAAATCACATCATATGACCCCTTTAAGTTCAACTGTTCCAATAGTTATGTTCGCATCAAATAGTGGGATGAACTCTAAAAGTGCTGTCCTTTTTATTTGGTAAAACATGTATGTGTTGAAACGGCTAATAATAAAAGTGTGACATTCTGTAGTTTTGTCTCATATTCATCTTTTAATCATATTTGCGGATGTCTTGACAACACCGCAAACAAAGCAATTTTGCCATGCATTAATAGGGACACAGTATGGCAACGTTTTCTAGCGTGCTTCACACAGACATGCACTCCACTCAGCTTCACATAGGTAATGTTTCCTTCCGAACAGCTTTTCGAGCGCCTTATGTCTGATCTTGTCTCACGATTGCTGAAATACAGTAACTATCCCATGAGCAAATGACACTCTCCCAGCATAGCTGTAAAATGCTGTAGAAAACATCTAATCATCTACTGTCTTATAAAAGTAACGAAAAGTAGTCTGCTGCTGTTTATGTTGTGATATTTGGATTAGGTCACTAATGAAATTTCGGAAAAAAGGGCATTTAAAGGGGTCATGCACTGCCTTTGTTTTTTTATTTTGCACTGTTCTCTGAGGTCCACTTATGTTATCAAGATTTTTTACATCAAAAAGCATAATTTAGAAGTAATAAGCTATTTTTTAAACCCCTCATCGGAAAGCTTTGTTTGGATAGGCGTGGCAGATTGTAGACTCAGAAGTAAGCGCCCACTGCTATGATTGGCTAATAGTTGGGTTTGTTTGACAGCGTACATTCCTCATATATGGACGCTGCTGTGATTTAGGTCAAAAACGCATAAAATACCTCAATACATATCAAACGATCTGTAAGAAGCAATAGTGACTATACGTAATGAAAATGATTACTCAGACTTGTGTTGTGACATTACAACACAAGGGGGAAGTCGTGGCCTAATGGTTAGAGAGTTGTGGGTTGTGGGTTCGAGTCTCATACTGGCAGGGATTGTAGGTGGGGGGAGTGAATGTACAGCGCTCTCTCCCACCTTCAATACCACGACTGAGGTGGTATTGAACCCCCAACTGCTCCCCGGGCGCCGCAGCATAAATGGCTGCCCACTGCTCCGGGTGTGTGTTCACAGTGTGTGTGTTCACTGCTGTGTGTGTGCACTTTGGATGGGTAAATGCAGAGCACTAAGTCCAAGTATGGGTCACCATACTTGGCCACATGTCACTTCACTTTTTATTTATTTTTTCCTTAAATAAGGGCCACCATTGTGGACCATGTTGTCAATCAATGGCTGAGGTGGGTTTTCTGTGTTTGCCTTTCTAATTTTGTATTTTTGCCTTTGTGCCCATATTTATTTTCTTTTCTATATCACAATGATGTTGAATCTCTTTCAATCAATATCCCGCATACAGTAATGTGTACATTTGTACTTTTGAAATGGATATAGGCATATATAAGAAGTGCAACCTTCTGCATATCAATACAGTAACTGTCATCCAAACTGTTGCCATAGTTTACATCAGGTAATACTAACAGAGAGTAGAGTTATATTGACAACATGACTAAGCATTTTGACATCTTGTTTGTGAACACAAGGACTTTTCATTCTGATGGCTCTGATATGTTCACTGACCTAAATACTTATTTTTGAGAGATGAGCTAAAGATTTTGAGTAAGTTACAGGCTTTTGCAGGTAATCCATAGTGTGGTGCTGTTTGTACACATTGTTTTGAGAAATGCACATACTTCTTTGCCAATATTGAGGATGATTCGAGAAATGCACCAAAGCTACTGAGAAAAACTGTAATTACTGCCGCACTAATATTTTTATATATATATATATATATATATATATATATATATATATATATATACATACATACAAAATACCACAAATTTTCACAGTACAATTCAGATACCAAATCACAATGATTTGCTTAAAGTGAAAACTGAGTGAAGAGTTTTTACCTCTTTGTTTATCGTAACAGCTGAGATGTATGGGGTTATACTTGTTCCATTATTCCAAAAAATAGATTGTGATTCACAAATAAATGTAAAGAGATTCACAAAAGTTAAATTAACAAATAAATAGAATGAGATCCAAAAATAGATTTCAGTTTCACAAACATGAATTAAAGTAAATAAAATGAGATTTGCAAATTAAAAAAAAAAAAAAAAATTACAAAGATGTTGTTTATATCACAAACACAACTCTGTCTGCCATTCATTTGTGAGTCATAATATGGCTTCCAGAGCATTTGTGGATCACCACATGTATATGTGGATTTCAAAACTTTCTAGTGTCAAGATGCACACAAATCCACAAAATAGTTGGACTCCACCCACCATCTACTCAAGGCAAGCCAATCAGATAACGGCTACACTGCGCTGACCAATCGTAGCACGTTCTCCTTACAACCAATCACATCATCTGCATGGTCTCAAATTGGAAGCACAAGGTCCATAAAACTTGGTAAGAAATCCACAAATGTACTGGAAGTGACTCACAAATTAATGGCAGGCAGAGTTGTGTTTGTGACATAAAAACGTATTTGTAAATATTTTTTATTTGCAAATCTCATTCTATGTATTTGTGAATTTTGGTAGTGTGAGGAGGTTGTCACTGAAATAGCACTAAGTGACAAGGTCAGTTACAAACTATGTCATACCTGAATATTCTATGCGCATACCCATGGTCACAGAGTTGGAGATAGTTTAGGCTGAATTGTGTTATTATTATTGTAGCTATTCTTATTAATCTTGACTCACCCACTTCCAGTACTACAGTTGCATTGGCTGAAAGTCCTCCAGCAAACACTAAACACATGTAAACTCCTTTATCCTCAGTTCTGACACTCTTCAGTCTGAGAGAGAAGTTTCCTTTGGGGATCTCAGCAGTGAAGAACTCAACTCTGTCTCTGTATTGTTCATCTGATGAATCTGGAAAAGTCTCATTGTTTTGGTAGAGCAGAACCAGAATATTTCCATCTGTTTTCTTCCATGAAACCTCTTCAATGTGTCCAGGTGTGATGTGAGAGTCTACAGAGCAGCTCAGAGTGACGTCCTCACCATCATATGCAGATACAGACTTATCTGATCCTGATACTAGCAAATGCTCTGAGAGAATAAAGTTACAATATCACAGTATGAAATCTACAGCACAAAGTTAAGTTGAAATAGATCCACTGTCAATTTCAGACTCACCAGCATCTTTTATTTGAACCTCAGTCTCACCAGAATCCTGCTGACTGTAAACTCTACATGTGTATCGTCCCTCATCTTCAGCTGTCAGATTGTCCAGACGGAGAGAGAAGTTTCCATGTTGGATCTGATCAGTAAAGAAATGAGCTCTATCATGATACTCCTGCTGCTGGGCCTCTGGTCGACTCTCACCATCTTGATACAGATGAACCAGAGTCTGTGAGTCTGTTCTTCTCCATTCCACCTCCAGACCTTCCATTAGTAAGAGTTCATCAACATAACAGGGCAAAATCACAGAAGATCCCAGAGGAGCAACCAGAGGGCCAGCGGGACTGCGAACAATCAACCCTGAAAATAAACAGAAAAGGATTAAATAAAGATTTTGAATCAATAAAATGTTCCCAGGAACAGTAAAAGCCTTTAATGAGCTGGGCTAAATCATTAAATAGGTTGATCGCTGTGTTTTTGCTTGACACAGCCTGACTCTGCCCAGTTCATTATAGGCTTGTTACACTAACCACGTGAGTGTCTTGAAATATTTTGTTTCATTTTACATTTACCTCTCAAGTAGGGGTGTGGATATGATGATTTTTGATCGTGGAAGATTAAAATGTCTCCACGATCTGCTTTTGAAGAAATATAGCTACAGCACACATCCTATCAGTTACAGTTCTGGCGCCTCCGTCTCAATATACTGTACAACGCGACATACATTCACATCAAATAATCATTTCGGAATTACGGCAATTACGACGTGGCGTGAACGCAGCATAAGGTGCGTGTAGGTCTTAAAGTGACAGCAGACTAATAGTACTAAACATGCTGCCGTCAATAAAGGGATAGTTCACCCCAAAATTTAAATCATATCATTATTTACTCATTCTCATGTTGTCCCAAACCTGTATTAATTTCTTTCTTGTGCTGAACACAAAAGAAGATATTTTGAAGAATGTGGGTAACCAACAGTTGCTGGTCCCCATAGACTTTGACAGTAGGAAAAAAAGTACTATGGAAGTCACTGGGGACCAGCAACTGTTTAGTTACCCACATTCTTCAAAATAACTTATGTTCAACAGAAAAAACAAACATATTCAAACTTGAGAGTGAATAAATGATGACAGAATTGTCATTCTTGGGTGAACTATTCATTTAATGTTAATAAAACAACAAAACACAAAGAGAAAAAACACTCACTGCTCTTGACTGATAGTGTATAGAGTGTTTTATTTTTATATTTGTACATTTAATTTCTTAAATGCTACTGCTAAATACACCTACTGTACCTGAAAAATAAAGCACTGTTTATTTTATTTGTATATTATGTGTGTTTGTAATGTGTATCTTTGTTTTAATAACAAAGATAAAATAATGACAAAGATTTTTATCTTCATTCACTTTGGCCTAAATGTCTGCCATTCTTTTTCATTTTATATTTTGTTACGTTACATAAGGCTTTGTTTTTAAAATAGGGAAATTAGTTTGCATGTACTGCTCAGACAGCTTGCAAAAATAGTAAAACCACATAACAAAGAATCGTGGTAAAATCGTGAATTGTGATTTTCCTGAATTCTTTTTTGCCATATCGCCCACCCCTACTCTCAAGGATCCGATAAGCACCAGTGGCTACTGGTTACTATTTTGATACCCATAGCATACCCAGTTACTGTGTTTTGAAATAAAGCTTTTGTAGTTTCTCAAACAAATACAAACCCTAGGAATATCTGTTGGTGCATGTTTCTATTTTACAAACTCCTATGATTATCTGTATCACAAATTAAATTGTATTTTTGACTCCTACATTTCATGTTCACTAGCAAACTGCGTGTATAAAACACTTACAGATTGGTAACACTTTACAATAAGGTTCATTAGTTAACATTAGTTAACTACTTTAGTTAACATGAACTAAGAATGAACAATACTTCTACAGTATTTATTAATCTTAGTTAATGTTAATTTCAACATTTACTATGCATTAATAAAATCAAAAGTTGTGCTTGCTAACATTAGATAATGCACTGTGAATTAACATGAACTAACAATGAACGACTGTATTTTTATGAACTAACATTAACAAAAAAATGACATTTATGTATTGTTCATTGTTTGTTCATGTTAGTTAATACATTAACTAATGGAACCTTATTGTAAAGTGTTACCTACAGATTTACTTTCACTTTCTTTATTTTAGAAAAAACACAGTCAAATCAGGTAACCAGGTAATACATATATTAAAACACAACACTGACCTCAATATGAAAATAGCTGGCATAAAAGTCAAATTAGACACAAATGTTCTCTCTGCTCTGCTCTGGACATTCAACTTTATGAGGTGCATCATGAGATACTTTAACTTTAACTGGAGGAACTGCACACTTGTTGACTGAACATCATATACCATCTGCGCAATTTTTAGCTCTAAATAATAATATTAATCATTTAAGCAGAAGCCTTTATATAAAACGATTATAAGATCAAGAGAAACAACTTCTGGAAAGTGTGGCCAGACCTTGGACTAAGTGCAGGTTTGCATAGATTTAAATATGACGTTGTGACTTTTAACCAGCATTGGATTAAAGAGAGGAAAACAGCACATACCTTCAGATAAAATCTGAGTGAATAGACAAAAAACCAGACCATTGTCAGTTTACGATAAATTATGATAATTGAGGATATGATATATTGTGTGTCAGGAAAGATCTGTGAAATAGCATAATTCAAATAAACCAGATCTCATTAAGTAGGAAAAAACGATGAAAAACATCTGTAAAGGGTGTAATCTGAAACAGCACACAATTCTTAAAAGATCAACAAATAATGGTTAGGGCACAAGTTTAGTTGCAGAAGCTAAACGGACAAATACAACTTTTCTGTTGAGGACAATCCGGTTAATATTGAGTAGATATGGTACTGGGTAGACTTTACAGTGTTTAGCCTCCGTTTTTCGTTTTTTTTTTTTTTTTACATTTTTATTGCATTATGAAACTTTATAATGCAATAATGTAATAAGCAAGAGAGAGATACGTACCATCAGCGATCATCAGCTGCATTAACAACAAAACACAGTTTAATAGCTGCATCTTCAAATATGCGAAATTAAACAAAACGATCATGTCTACTGTGACACATGTTCACAAACAACGCTGAAATGTCGGCAGATGAACTTAACTTTTCTATTTAAACAAGATGTATCCGGCTTCATCACCGTAGCACCACACCTTTCAGGACACAGGATCCAGGACACCTGTTTCAGGTCGGAAGTGAGGAGAACCAAATATGGTTTAGGGCGGATCTGGTCTTTTTAGAGTCACACCACCTGTAGCTTTGTAGCCCAACGTTTATGTAATGATTTAATACGAGCTATTTTGCCATGGATTTTAATATATTTTTTTATGTACAACCTTTAATGACAATAGCCTACCTGAAACACTAAAAATTCATAATCTGATTATTTATTCATATTTGATCAATACAGTTAACGAATGTCACATCATGGATTTTGATAGGATGCTGCCTTCACGTGCTATCGGAATTATCGTAAATACGAGTTTCCTAATCGGAAAAGACGTGAACGCCTCTCAAGCTGTATTTGGGAAATTCGGAAATAATTTTGATACCAGAGTTTCCGAGTTGGGCGGATCATAGGCTAATCTTTAAACATGGTGGAGGGCTGCTGTCAATGCTGTTCTCACAACAACTACATCCCTTTGTCTTGTCGCTAAAGTAGTGTATTTATATGCTGTATGAACGACCATTCGAAGCATTTTGCATGTTTTATAAGCAGCGAAATAAGCATGTCTTTGACCGAAATTCCAGAATTGTCAGTAAACTGCATGTGTAGCGCGGTGAATGTTTATGATAGACAACCAACGGGATGCTACATTTGATTCTTTCAGACATTTAAGCACTTGAATACAAGCTTGTAATCACGACTTCATAAGTGGGAAATAGGACATTTCCGATAGCACATGAAGGCAGCATTATATGAACAACCTTTAGCAATACCTGAAATACATAATCTCATTATTCGTATTAAATTTGATCAAGGTAGTTAACAAATGTAACATCATAGATTTCGATAGGAATAGATAGGTACACTCTAAAAAATGGGTTATGCTGGGTTAAGCCTTTTGGGTCCATTTTTTTGACCCAACGTTTCAGTGTTTGGGTAGTTTTTGTGTTACCCAGCTCCTGGGTCAAATGTAACAACCCAATGTTTGGGTAGTTTTTGTGTTACTCAGATCCTGGGCCAGCGGTTGAGTTAGTTATCGCGGGGATTTTGCGTCTTCTCTTCAGGAGAGAGCAGTTCTAAGCGCCATCGAATTGATGCATTCTTCGGTAAAATACAGGTTTGTGTAAATTTTATTTTATCTATAAAATCGTTACTGTGCTGTATATCGTTCAATTTTATGCAGAGCAACCAGGGGCGGCGTTTCCGTATGGCAGAGTATCGCAGTTGCCATACCCTAGCCCAGTCAGGTGTGCAGTGAAAAATTATCCAAACTTAATATCTCTATTATAATTCGTTTTCATTATTTTAAATCAGAGGGTTTTACAAATATTTAACCAGTGATACGTATTACAAAGAGCTTGTAAGTAAAACTTCGTAATGCAATTGGATCCTCAAGCTCTCAGCGAAACCTCATAACTTCTTCATCCCGACCGGCCAAAAATCTTGTTAACTCAATTTGAGCTTGATTTTCATGTTAAGTGCAAGTGTCTGATACAATAACAACGACGCAGTGTTGTTTAATTATTGACTGTTTTTTCCTTTCTGTCCTATATTTACCCAGCCCTTGGGTTAATAACAACCCAAATTGGGATGTTTTTAACCCAGTGTTTTTTAGAGTGTACCTGAAATACCAAGAATACATCATTTGATTATTTCTATTAATTTTTTATCTATTAACAAATGTAACATCACGTAGCATAGTGAATTCCACTGTAGGCTGTTAGGATGAGAATATATTTAGTTCATGTTCACTTTGTAACAAATAGAGTATAGCGTGCAGAAACACGAAGCACTAAAACCCTACATAAAGAGCATGCGTTTGAGCGTTTGGTGCAAACAATACAAGACAGTGAGAAAACATTAAGTGCAAACAATACAGGACAGTGAGAAAACATTCAGTGCAAATAATACAAGACAGTGAGAAAACATTCAGTGCAAATAATACAAGACAGAGGGGCAATAGACATTTCAACACCGACCAGTGCAGTAGGTGTGTGATATTGCACATGAATTGACCATATAATAATAAACACCATACATGTAACATTTGTTGTGTAGCAGCTATAAATAGTGCAAAACTTAAGTACAATTTGTGTGTGTGTGTGTGTGTGTGTGTGTGTGTGTGTGTGTGTGTGTTAGTCTCTAATCCCTTTGTATTGAGAAGGTGAATGTCGCGGGTCTCTGCGCAGAAACATCGAGAACACGAGCACCAGGGAAACAGTGAGTGTGCACCTTACCTTCAGCTAACGTAGCACGGACGTGCCGGACGATGGAGTCTCCGATGATCACAGCGTCGCGTTCCGTCTCGCGGAGGGGAGCGAAGCGGTTCCGGGTGGAGATCTCGAAGACCGGAGGCGGCGGAGGGGGAGAGGTCGTCGCCCGGGACCTGGCTCGCGTCTTCCGATGCGGCTGCACCCAGGGTCCGTGGTGTCCCGGGGCCGGAGTGAAGGACATCTGGGAAGATCGCGTCCTGGGTGCACCGGGCCTAGGTAGAATTAATAGAATAGAATTAATTATACACAAAAGTATAAATATAATGAAATATTACACTCTGTCAACCCATGGGTACTACATTACACTAAATAACAAATGAAAAAAGAAAAGAAAAAGAAAGAATCATTCAGCTGCTATTCCAAAATATTTGCCATATTTATAAATTACATCACGTGTATGAGGGTAGAGGGTTAAATTCAAGAGTGGGATAAAGTCAAGATACATTTTTGTTGTAAGTATGGTCTATGTTGACAAGAGTGATGTAGAAGTATTCACCATGTCCTAATCAAATTGAAAGAGAAAATGCAGATAATGCATCCATAAAAGAAATGATAGACATATAGTGCTCTTCATACAAATCGTCTGAGACATTTTGCAGCTTCCTAATGTGGGACAGTTGTGTCCCTAAATGTGGGACACTGAAAAGTCTATGATAAAATGTCAAAATCACCTTGATTCATGTAGAATATGTAAAAAAAGTTAGTAATTCTCTTGGTTATGGATGGGTGAAACATGGATAATTTAACATCATCAGACAAATAATACAATATGCTAGTTTTGATGCATTTACTATAAAGACATTAAGCAACTTATCATAGGCCTATGTTGTATTATGTAGATAGAAAAAAGTTAAATGCACAGTCAGAATTCCTGACTGTTCTCTAGTTCATTTTACTTAACAACAAACACATACAACCACAACAGGCATAGCCTAGGCCTATTTAAAGGCAAAATATAATAGCTTAAAATATTTTTAAAAAACAACAACCCACAACTTGAACAAACTTTAGGCTAGGTTCAACCTTGAGTCAGAATTGATGAATGTGCAGTGAACTGCAGTTAAAACATTTAGGACAATTTGGCCTAATGTTTTCTATTTTACTAAGCAACAAACACATACAATCATAACCTTAAAAAATACAACCAGCAGAGGTTAACTTACTGCATCTCTGGAAACAAGCAGTCCTTGCATGTCAAGACACCATCATCATCATCATCATCATCATCTATAACCCTATCTGCAGTAACCGCATTCTAATAGTGCATAACAACACTAAATCCGTGTAAATAACCATTTTGTCCCACAAACCAGGCCCCACCACACATTTTTGACTAACTGAAATATTGTTTTTATCAAACAGGACTCAGTGTATGAGAGTCAATGGTTTGCTATCTTCCAATTATATTCTTCTACAGGTTCCCCTCAAGGGTGCGTTCTTTCCCCTCTGCTTTATATTTTATACACTAATGATTGCAGGAGTACATTTGATTTGAAGATAGGTATATACTGAAGTTTGCAGATGATACTGTCACTGAGAGTCTCCTAGCAAATGAGGAGACATGAATGAATGAATGAATTTATATAGTGCTTTATTGTGTATTGCTGTACACCCAAAGCACTTTACAATTATGTTGGAGGGGTCTCTCCTCAACCACCACCAGTATGCAGCATCCACCTGGATGATGCGATGGCAGCCACAGGACAACGGCGCCAGTGCGCTCACCACACACCAGCTACAGGTGGAGAGGAGAGAAAGTCATAGAGCCAATCAAGTGAATGGGGATTATTAGGAGGCCATGATAGACAAGGGCCAGTGGTGGCAATTTGGCAAGGACACCGGGGATACATCCCAACTTTTTTCGAGAAGTGCCATGGGATTTTTAATGACCACAGAGAGTCAGGACCTCGGTTTAATGTCTCATCCGAAAGACGGTGCTTTTTGACAGTATAGTGTCCCCGTCACTGGTAGGACCCACACAGACCACAGGGTGAGCACCCCCTGCTGACCTCACTAACCCCTCTTCCAGCAGCAACCTAGTTTTCCCAGGCGGTCTCCCATCCAGGTACTGACCAGGCTCAACCCTGCTTAGCTTCAGAGGGCAACCAGTCTTAGGCTGCAGGGTGATATGGCTGTAATCTCACGGACCTGTGGTGGAGGATTTTGTTTCTTGGTGTGCAAGCTGTAGTCTAAACTTAAATATAGCTAAGACCAAAGACATGATTATAGACTTTGGAAAGCCTGCTTTTTTTGTCTCTCCTACTGTCATTCATGGAAGGGACATTGAGCTTGTGGATGAGTATATCTGGGTATAGTTATTTGATAATAAATTACATTTTGATGCTAATACTAAGGCCATTTAAAAAAAAAGTTCAACAATGTTTGTTTTTCTTAAGAAAAATGAATTATTTTAAAGTATGTACTGTGTTAATGACACTGTTTTATCTGAGTTTTATTAAATCTGTAATTTCTGTGTGTCATTGTATGGTTTGATTGCATTAGCTTGTCTAGTAGAAACAGAATGACTAAGCTGTTTAAAACTGCATCCAAGGTGATTGGAGATCAACAGACATTGCTTGAAAAAAAAAAAAGTTACCACACTTTTAATAAAATAAAACCATGGTTAATTTTTCATAAGGGAAATCAACAGTGCGTATACAGGTGCATCTCAATAAATTAGAATGTCGTGGAAAAGTTCATTTATTTCAGTAATTCAACTCAAATTGTGAAACATCT